TTTCCCTTTAAGAAACAACAGTCCCTTGTATTTAAATTTTCTCATGGAAGGAAAAATAAAATGACAAACACTAGGTTAAAATATCTAAATATTTCAACAAAATTCAATATTAAAATAAAAAAGATCCACAGTGCTTTAGCATTGACTTTTTCTATATAAATACTAGTAGTGTCTTTGCTAGGAGCCCTGGTGGTACAATGGTTAAGAGCTCGGCTGCTAACCAAAAGGTCTACAGGCAGTTTGAATCCACCAGCCGCTCCTTGGAAACCCTCTGGGGCCATTCTACTCTGTCCTATAGAGTCGCTGTGAGTCAGAATTGACTCAAAGGCAATGGGTTTTTGGTTTTTTAATGTCTTTGCTATTTACTATATTTTTCGCTGCTAAATAATTTCTCAGCAAATACTTCTAAGGGTGACCACAAATCCAGTAATTCTACATTATCTATATATTACAAATAGTAATAAATAAATATATGTTACCATTTTGTTATCACAGTGAATTTTACAAGCCAGGAGGTAAGAAGTAAAAGAATAGGGAAAAATGTGAGTAGGTTATATCAATTTAGAGGCAGGTAAAATTTGTCTAACCTCTCCTGAGATCTCTCCCATGCCCTATTTATAGGCTCTTTCTCCATTTTGAGAAATACTGTTTTAGATACTCTAATTCTTTACAAAATTATTAGTTAAATAGAGATGCCTTTTCCAAATAACCAAACACATTGTTAGTTTGATGGAAATAATAACCAAGATGGTGGCATAATGAATAATTGCTTATTTACTTTTTGATGATTGCATTGTAGTTTTTAGAGATAAACCTAATTAATGTAATAACAAATATTCTCTCTGTGTTCAACATTCAGTTGTAAATAGCTATGGTGATTCTCTTATTATTTCACATTTTTTTCCTTATAAAATTGTATGCATATATTTTTATATTATTAGTAGTATTATTGCCATCAAAAATCTCTGAAAAAAAGTGACCAACTATAATAATATAGTTAAAACTTACTGCTTTTATTATAAGGGTGAAGAAATGTTGATGTGATATCTAAAACTTTTCTCTGGTCAAAAGTACCTTTGTTTCTTCTCTTTTCATTTTAACGAAGAACAGTAGGAATTGCATTTTTTTGAGATAATTTTCAGTCACTTTTGGGTGTTATGCAATGTGCACTTTACAACTGACTTATAATTGGACTGTGCAGACAAAGAAAAATCTTACAAGTATTGAACATGACATTTATGACAGTATTGCTGTCATCTTGGCTTCTTTTATTGAATATGCAGAGAATTATAATTGGGCTAACAAGCCTAGTAGCCTGGCCCCTTTCCAATTATATTAATCAGCCTAGTCTAGTATTAGCTGGCTGAACACACAGAAACAGGCATTGAGCTTTTGTTTTTCTTTCTACTTCATTTTGGTACTTACCCAATAATCTAAGAATAAAATTATCTGTTTTCATGTACTATTTGATATTTTTCAATAATTTAACTCTATTCCACTGAGGGATATAAAGATTTGCCTTCTGTATCTTTATTTCACTATTTTTTTAATGAAAAAGATGACCTTCTATAAAGACTGGCTGTATCTGCTACTTATTGAACACTAATTGATTCTTACTATTTCAAAAAATCTATCAGGTTTTTGAAAAATTTTCTTTGAATTCATGTTGCAAATTTTTAAATGATAAATTTGGATTTGAAGTGAAATTTCTCTTAAAAGGGCAGCCTGTATACATGAACCATTCAACATATTGATGCATAAATATATTTTTTGAAATTGAGGTAAATAATGTTTTAGCACAATCTAGGATCAAGTAATTGATTCAGTTTTGTGTCGTCTTCAAAGCAATGCTAAAGAAGTAATGAATAGATGAAAATACTTCCTAATGATTATAATCCTGAAATCTACTAAAATACCACCACAATATTCTTAAAAAATAAATTTTTAATAGAAAAATAGTAAGGAATTTTCATTAGAACAGCTTGTGGTTTTACAGATCCAAGGAATTTGCAGTGTATCAATTATTTGGAACAATAGATTCTCTACTTTTCTTTCTCTTTTCCTCTCTCTTTTTCTGGCTTCCTATTTTAGTGCATTTAATATGTTGCATATTTCCACTTGCAAATATTCCCAACACTCCGACTGCAGTATCGAAGGTCTTCATCTTTGTTTTCTGGCTAGAAAGAAGAAAACAACCTGAAAATCTGTTCTACAAAATTAAAACACCACTATAAAGCGTGAGGGGTATGCCATAAGGATGTATTTTACAGCGTTGTTGATATTAACTAAAAAACAAACAAACAAACAAAAGAAACCTAAAACTAAAACAAACAAACAAAACACACTCACAAAAACAAAAAACAAAACAAGAAGACCCACAAACAATCTGCTTTTCTATCAACAGGGAAATAGTTCTATCTGTCATATACGCTATAGAAACATATGCAACTCTTCAGTGAATTAGAACTTTATGTATAGACCTTGAAAATGCAGGAAAAGCACACTGCAGAGTAAGGCATGTATGATTCACACTAAATACAGGTTGCACAGGTTTGCATAAAGAACTGCAAATTTTTTTTTTTTAATATTAAATTATTAACATCGATTATCCCTGAAGTCGAAAATGGAGAGGGAGATGGGGATATTATTTACTTTTCTATATCACTTCTGATTTTTTGTCAGGTATTAATTTTGTAATTAAAAATAAACAATAAATTAGAAACGTTTACTTCATTAAAAAGTATATTTCTTGATAAAAATGTCTTATTAAATTAAATTTCTAATATTAAATTTTTTAATATTGATTCTGACTTATAGTGACTCTATAGTACAGAATAGAACTGCCCCATAGTGTTTCTAAGGCTGTAAATCTTTACGGAAGCAGACTGCCACATCTTTCTCCTGTGGAGCAGCTGGTGGGTTCGAACTGCTTACCTTTTGATTAGCAACCGAGCACTTTAACCACTGCCCCACCAGGGCTCCTTTACAGACTCTAATGGGCATTAAATTTTATTATGAATTTTTACATTATAATTAGTAGCAATATGCAAAATAGCTAGTAGTTTTGTTTTAAATCTCTGGTTTTTAAGTTAGTTTTACATTTTATCTTCATAATGATATTGTCGTCATTCTCCCTCTCAGCCTGCCCTACCTCCACCTTCAAGCTGCAGGAATAAACAGAGTTTGCATGGGTTTAAGGCAGGGATTTAACCCAGGTTTTTGGAAATAATTTTGCTTTTAAGATATTTTTGTCTGAAAAATAATAATTATTTTTGAAAGGCAATGTACATTTTCTTTTCTATGACCTAACTGAAAGATAAGTGTCAAAAAATAAGATAGTGTTTGTGAATTTGGATCAAAAAATGAAATTCTCTGTAAGGAGTCTGGCATGTAGCTAGACTCCCTAGAATTTTTTTTAGCTGTAAATAATTTGAAAGAGTCAAGTGTCAATTAAAAGTTTCCATAAGCAGTTTATAAGTTCTACATCTAAAAAGTAAAATTAAGCCTCAGTGATGGTAAGACAAATCAGAGACTAGATATTTTGCAATTAGTGGATGTGGAAGATCATCTTTAACACCTTTTAGAGTCTAAAAAGCACTCTTTTGTGTATTAGTCTTGTTAAATAGTACCTAAACTGAAGATTATATCACTTCAAAAAGTGTTTACCTGTTACCGTCAAGTCAATTCTGACTCATGGTGAGCCCACATGTTACAGAATAGAACTGCTACATAGGGTTTTCTTAGCTGTAGTCTTTATAGAAGCAGACTACCCAGGCTTTCTTCCCTGGCATCACTGGTGTGTTTGAACCACCAACCTTTAGGTTAGTACCAAAGTAAAAAAAAACAAACCTATTGCCTTCGAGTCGATGCCAACTCATAGTGACCCTATAGGCCAGAATAGAACTGCCCCATAGGGTTTCCAAGGAGCAGTTAGTGGATTCGAACTGCCTTTTGGTTAGCATCCTAGCTCTTAACCTCTATGCCACCAGGGCTCCATTTGCACCACCTAGGGACCTCACAAAAGTGTTTAGAAGCATTTTGACTGCAAGTCTTCCTTTGAGCAAGGAACTGTCCAGTAGAGCTAGTCTAATTTCCTCATTAAGTTTACTTCTGCCCCAAGCAGTGTTTACCACTAGATATAATTAAGCATAATTTCTACTTCTTAATGGAAAGTAGAAAGTGACGGAGTTTTCTAATTCCATAGCTATGTAGTCATACCAAAATAGTTGGAGTTTAATGAATTATGTTCTTTTGATTTGGCTTTCTAGGCCTGATTATTGCAATTAGTTGGTGACTTAATTTCTTAAATCCAAACAGCATAGTGTAGTATCTTAGGGCATAGATTTTGGAGCCAGACACACCTAGGATCAAATCCCAAATTTACTTCTTTCTAGCTATGGGATCTTCAGCAAGTAATTTGACCTTTCTAAGTCCCAGTTGCCACATCTGTAAGGCATTGATAACAAAACTTGGTGATGCTGTCATTATTAAATGAAAAGTGTATGGTAAATGTTCAGCCTCAGTCTTTGGCATGTAATAAACACTCAATAAATGAAAGTGACTTGCCCTTGTGATTTATTCAAACTTTATGGGCTGTATTTTTAACTTTGAAACAGTATTCAATATATTTAAGTTACATATGAGGAGAGTTTCTTTAATTGAATTAGAAACTAACATTTAGAAACAAAAAAGGGTGTAGAGAAAGATATACAGTCCTTAAAAGGAATTTGGTGCTTTATGGTGGTTATGATTTGCACTAGGTGGATCCTGTCTATTTCACTTTTTCCTATTCAAGGACTTTAATCATAGTAACAAAAATATCATCAATTGGCGTTTTCTTTGTTATAGGTCTTATTTATCTAACATGTATTGATCACTTAATCATAATCTCTTTAAACTTTAACTAATAGTTATAACATATCTCTGTTTTCTTACTAATTAGAGACTGTCTAATATCTAATATGTTCTCTTCTTCTTGTGCATTCTTTCTTTGGTACCAGCGGCTGCTTCCAAGAATAAAGCTAAAGGTGAGCTTATTTCCTTTTTGCATGATCAGCCAAGATTTATTTTTCTGCTCAGTCTTCTTAAAAAATGGAGTCAATTCTGTTGGTGATACTAATAGTTCAGTGTATAGATATTTGTCATATATTCTGACAAATACAAAATGTATGTTATTTCAGTTATTCCATTTCTGATCTATAAATCTATGTTTGCATGGTTGTTTGTGGGTTTATATGTTGTTTGTCTGTTTGCTTGTTTTATTTCCTGCCTTGTTCCAAAGTGGAATAAAGTGCTTTTGTACATTAACATTTTGCCTGTTGACGTCAGTTTTCTTGGTATAATTCAGAATTGGAAAAAATGCAGCAGAAAGTAAAGCTGATGGAAAGTCACTAAACTGAACATGCCTTCATAGAATTATGTGGAAAGAAAATTTTATCATTTAAAAATTGAATATTATAAACTGTGGTTTTCTCTTTATGACCTTTCTTCTATTTCCCAGTTGTATTAAGCTTACATTTTTTAGAAACTGGAAAATATATTTTCATGAGAGGATGCACTTGTCCAATACTTGAATGTCTGCCTTGACTTGATGTGTCTAAGTCTTTATGTTTTTAGATAAAAATAATTTAAATATATGTAGGATGCTATATCTTGGCTTATAGTTTGTGTGTTTCAATTTCAAACTCTCTAGTGGTGAGAGCCCTGGTAATGCAGTAGTTGAGCACTCAGCTGTTAACTGAAAGTTTGGTGGTTTGAACCCACTAGCTGCTGCATGTGAGAAAAGAGTGGTGACATCTGAAAGAAAACCATATTTATGTGACTAATTTAGGACTTTCCACGTCTTCATTCCAACTGTTTCCCACCTATCCATTTTATTGAATCTGTGCTGTGAACTTGTGTACAAGCCTGGGGAGTGGGAAGGGGTGGCTTTAAGACATAGTTTATCCTATGCCTTTTCGTTTGCATCTACAGAAAAATGGAGGCAGAAAAATGGCACTTTCTAAAATAAAATGTACATCTTAAGTTTAAATTGAAATTTTATTTCTAACCGTTGTTTGAGAGAGACGTATATTATTAGAGATAATAGAATTAGTCAGTATTGTCATTGTCCACTTTCTATGTCAAGGCGAATGGTCTTCAAACTGGAAAAAAATATATGGACAGGAGGAAATAAAGCTCAAGATAATGTAAGAGCAGATGGCTGCTTAAAAATAGCTTATTTCTCCTGGCCCCCCAAAAAGTTACAACCCAGGGAACCTAGGGAAGTTTTGGATGGTATCACTTCCCATGAATTTACCCTGTGGAGTCATGGAAACTTGAAGGAGCTTCTGGAAGACTGGAGAAAGGAAAAGTATCCAGATTTTTTTTTTTTTTTTTAAGGGGAAAAATTTTCATTCCAGAAAACATAGACTGGTGAATTTGATATCAATCCCCAATAATTTTTGTAAAAGATTATTAAAATAACAGTTTGTGAGTGCTTAGATTAAAATAGAGTTCGATAGGAGTCAGTATTGATAATGGCTTAGATGAACTAGAAACGACTGTAATTTTCTCCCTCCCCTTTCGTTCTTTTTTCTTGTTCTTTTTTTTTTCATATTGATTACTATGCCAGTATCTGAAGACAGTAGTATAAACATAATATACTTGAATTTTATCAAAGTATATGACAACTATCTCTTTATCTCTACAAAAACTGTCTTTTGAAAAAAATCACCAGCTATTCTCCAGGGGTCAAATGCAATGATTGTTTCTCAATCCTCATATAACTCATTTTTTCTACAGAAGATATCTTGTTTCTTTTGATTTTTCTTTTCCCTTCTTTTCAGTGTCTCTGTACAGACCTGATTTTCTTTTTAATTCTTCTTTGTCAGTTTTTTCCCTCTTCTTCAATATCTTGTCCCTGAAATGTGTTTCATCCAGATTATGTCTTTGATTGTTGAAGTCACCAACTGTTTTGTTCGTTCAACTCTCTACATTACTATTGAAAGATAAACTGGACTTTCTAAAAAAATAAAGGAAGCAGCCGTTTTCTAGACAATGGTGTACCCACAATCAACCACCTTCACCACTGTTTATGGTCAAGAAGAAGACAAATGACCCAATCAAATTCTTTTCCTGAAAACTTTGAACTGGGAAGGAGGAAAGGGTTTCTACGTCTTCTAATGACACCAACGGTTGCTCAATTTCCTAGGTTTAAAAGATTTGAACATCTTTCACTCTTCCTGCTTAATTACCCTCATATCCAATCAGTTATCAAATTGTCTTCATTTTAACCCTGTAGTAAATCCCTTCTTCTTCAAATTACCCATTATTAATGCAATATTTTCTAACTTGTCTACTGCTTCAATTACAGACAGTCTCCAATGTATCCTACATTTGTATGTTACACCGAATTTTAAGTAAGATCATAAATGCTTTGCCCTTAGAGAAAAATGTACCTTAGAGTATCCATAAAATGTCTTTGTATAAAATTATTTTATTTTACTTTATTGAAA